GTATTTTTAAAGGTTCAAGTTCTATGTGACAGGCTATGGGAGTAAGAGGAGTAACAAACTACCTGATAGAGAAAAGATAAAGTTTCATAGAAGAAGTGGTATCTAACCTAGGTCTTAACGGATGCACGGAAGATTGCTAAATGTCAAGGAAGGAAGGGGCTGGACATTGCAGGAAGCATGTGCAAAGGCATAGCAATGTAAAACACCCTCCAGGGCTCACACTGCCTAGAGACGGGATGGAGATTGAGTTGAAAATGTAGGTTAGAACCAGCCCGTCAAAAGCTTAAATACCAATGCTAAGAAATTTGAGCTTTACCCTATAAACAACACATGTAAATATCTGACACTACTAGAACACTATGACTTCCATTTGGTGATTCTCTGTTATTTCTCTGATAACAGTAAAGGATCAGGTCGAGGCTAAGAGTATGAAGTCTTAACCCCTTTGTTAAGACGCTGTTGCAGTAGTTCAGGAGAGAGAAAGGAACGGCACGTAGCATCGTCCTGGTGCGAGTGTTCTTCAGCAGCTTGCTCTTGCTCTGTCTCAGAAGGAGGCTTTTGTGCAGTTCGAATGTTAGGGGTCAAATAGGTAAATGAGAATCCACCATTGTTGGGTGCAGGGAAGAACCGCCACCACCTCTGCTCGCCTCCCACTCTTCAGTGCCCAGCCTCTGCTTTGCAGTGCCTGCCCTGCAAAGTGCCTGAGCCGGAGTTCAGCACGGCAGTTAATGACGGCATTAGGTAAAGTCCTACTCTACCATGAATATATGGTCAGTTTTATTGGCCCTGGTACCATAGTCTTTCCCTAATATAAAAATGCTGTTTTATTGAAGGTCAGTATGTACAGTTGAAGTTGTCTGTCTGCTTACCTTTTTCTCATAAATGGAGGATAAAAATGATTGAGCCAAATGTAGTAGAACAAGCTCTTAAACCCTTCTAAATCAGCCCCAGATCTAGGACTATGCTTAAATGTAGCCTAAAAGATAAAATCATGGACTCAAAGTTGGAGGGTCAGCTACTATTGTGGAAGGGTTTCCCACCATGCGTATGTGTTTGGATTAGATCATAAATTTATAAGCCAGGTTATATCTGAGAATCACTTTAGGAGGTTTTTTAAAAACACAGGTCCCAGGCCATACCTTCATGGTAGGAATTTCTTCCATGGCGCGGAAGGCTGCCTCGTCTTATAACAAGTACTTCTAATGACTAAAGATGCATTGCTTGGCTGTACGTCTTTGTACAGCTCTGATTATTAGAAAGGTAAGAGAGAGAGTAATTAAAAGGAGAGACAGCAGCTATCTGTGGCGGTTAGATCTGTGTGGTGGGCTTTGCCACATTTTATAATATGAGCATGTGTAACTTAAACGATGAGGTAGGAAGCATAGAAATATGTTTCAAGAAATGCAAGACAGCAAGACCTAGTAGCTAGATTACAAAAGGCCTTGATAAAAATGCTAGACCTCGTCCTTTAAACAATGGCAAAATAATAATAGTAGGAAGGAGGAGAAAAATCTGAATTTCTTCAGGATCCTAAATGATTTGGCCTCTGGTCATCTCTCCAGCCTCATCTCTTTTTTCTCTTCACTTTCTTCTTCTAACTTGCATCTCTGTGCTGAAGCAACACTGGCTGCCTTCCCCTTCCTTGAGAAGGGTCGTTCCTGCCTTCCAGTCCTTCTCCTGGCCATTCTTCCTCTGGAGTGTTCCTCCCTCGGGGCTTTGTACTATGGGATCTTTCTTGTCATTCAAATCTCAGCTCAAATGCCATCTTCTCAGAGAAGCGTTTTCTAACCACTCAATCTCCATTAGCCACCCAGTCACTCTGTATCATATCCCTCATTTTGTTTTTCCCATAACAGCCATTATTAATTACCAGTTTCTTACTCAGTTATTGTTTGCCCCAGCCCTACCCCCACACTCACCTCTTCCTGGTCACCTTGGCATCCTTAGTGACTGGCGCATTGTAACCACTCAGTAATTATTTGTCACATTAATGCATACGTACACACCTACGTTTCCCTGAAGTCAAATAAGAGAAATAACTCTGCTTCAGTTGTATATTTGTGAAAACAGAGGCACTTTATTTTTCAAGCAATTTTTTGTAATCTTAGACATTTGTGTGCTGTGGAAAACTTTTGATTTGTATGAATGTACATTTTAAAAATGGTTTTGAAAGCCAGAAAACTAAACCATGTACAAATGGTGTTTTACAAGGTGAGTTTATGTATCACATAAGACACCAGCTGCACAAGACCTTTTATTTGTCCGAGTATATCTGAACCTTGAAAGCTCTTGAATGTTCAGTACAATTTGAGAAGCTTTTCCTGAACACCATCTTCGAGCAGGGCTCTGTGCTGAGCACCATGCGTAGGACAGGCTCTCAGCTCTGCAGGAGCTCCCGATCTGGAGAGAGCTGTGTTCATGGGGAGCTTTCATACAAGGCACGGTGATGAGTGTTAGAACGAAGTTCACATGAAGTATCTTGGAATGGTTCGATAGCCTGATTATATGCATTTTTTAAATTCTCAAACACTAACAGATGTACCGTTTTTCCCTCTGCAGGCAGTAACAGCCCTCACGGCAGCCCCACCTCTGTAGACAGTAATATGCTGCTGGTCATCATTGTTTCCGTTGGCGTCATCACCATCGTGGTGGTCGTGATCATCGCTGTCTTTTGCACCCGGCGCACCACCTCTCACCAGAAAAAGTAAGGACCCCAAATGTGCAGCTCGGAGATTTTTGGTATCTTTTCTTTTAGAGTGGTACACAGAGTTAAGACATAAAAAATACATGGAAAGCAATTTTAAATATTGTAAAAGGAAATGGGAAATAGTTCCTCTTATAAATGTGTATGAGTCATGGTCCTGGCGGGAAAGAGGTGGCACACTTCAAAAGGGTTCCAAAAGGGACCATTTACAAAGTCATAGGTGGGGTTACAGGAAACGAGGCAGGGATGTTCAAGGGCCAGCAGCAGTGATAAGTCGCTGTTACCCTCAGGCCTGAAGGGGCAAGAGGAGAGAGCTGTTTTCAGAGATCTGAAGCAGTAAGCAAGGGCTTCCTGCCAGGAACGTGGCAGGCACTAGAGGCATGTGGCCATTGCCAGCCTCTAGCCTGGCAGAGAGGGCAGAAGAATCCTCCCACCCTCCGTCTGTTGCCAGTGCCTACCGTTGGCCAAACCCAGCGAGGAGTTACAGAGCCAAGGAGAGAAGAGATGTGGAGAGGAGAGCGGGAACTGTCCAGCATCGCTGGTCACTCCTCAGGAGCCTGTCTGCGTGTGCACACAGCGAGCCAGGTGCACGGGAGTCTGGCTGTTTTCACGGGCTGCGTCCCGGCGCGATGCCAGCTGAGGAGAAGAAGACCATAGGCCTCTTATTCTAGGTCTAAGTTGAGAATATATTTAAAGAAGTGCTACCAAGTGTAGAGGTGGGGGCAGCAGGGATTACTTTAATGAACAGGAAAGGATCTTTGATAACCAACTTACCAATTAGATATGGTAGCCGATCCAAAGTTGACAAAGCATTTAGAGACTGTAACCCCTCACTGGATCTCAGCACATCCCCCGATAGCCCCTCACTCTCAACAGCTCACCTGGGCTTCTTCACAGAGCAAGTGGAAGCTGTCGGCATACCACGGTCAAATCTGACACCTTTCTACGTTGGTAATAATTGTTTCCTCCTCCTTCCTAAGTGTACTCCTCCTGTGAATCCAGGTCTTCCGTTAAGCCCTGATCTCTTGTCTCACATCTGTCTAAGACTCTATACCGGCTCTTACCCCTCTCTCCAGCATAGCTGACCTCTGACTTGCTGTTGGCTCTGTCCCTTCAGTGTTTACATGTGCTCACACTTCTTCTCCCATCTTAAGAAATAATTATAATTATAACCCTCCCTCTACTACACGGTCCTGGGTTACCACCAGCTGCGTACAAACCTCCTCTGCCTTTTCCTTCACCACAAAATTCCTTGAATGCTTTTTTAGACTCACTGCCCATTCACTGACTGCTCATACTTTAGTCCTTTCTATTCTTCATTCTGCCCCTCCCACTTCACCAAAATTGCTTTTGCTGAGGTCACCCATGGCCTCCATATTGCTAAAGCCAAAGAACATTTTTCAGACCTCATCTTACTTGGTCTCTCAACAACATTTAACACAGTCACCTGTCCCTTCCTTCTGGAAACAGTCTCTTCTCTGGTATTGCATGACAGCATGTTCTTCTTCGTAGCCCCTCCTACCCACTCAGCCAGCAGACACACTCCTCGGGCCTGGGCCTGGACTCGGACGTGTTCTCTTCTCCTTCTGTGCTCTCCCCAGGTGATCTCGTCTACTGCCATGCTTCGTTTACTGTCTGCATTCCAGCCACTCCCATGTTTCTCCCTTCGCATTTCTTTAAGCTCAGAGCATTTTAAAATGATAGCTCAATATCTGTGTTTCTCGCTTGACCAAAAGTTCTGAGGGTACAGCAGTCTAACACAGGGTCTGGCATCTACTCGGTCCCTAATGTGTGATTATTGAAGGGGTGAGTGAGTGGAGCGGCCAAAGCGCGGAGGGTAGACACTGTGGTCCCCGTTATTATCTCTGTCTACTCAGTTGGTGGTCCTAGTGTGGCTGCCTAAAAAGTTGTTGCCCCCCTCTTTATAAGCCATAGACTCCTCTACTCTATTGTTACGTTTCTACTTAATGTCATTTCTCTACTGATCAGAAACTTGTAGAGAAAACTTCTTTAGAGATTACTTGATTAAAAAATGGGCCAGGAATTTGAGACCAGCCTAGGGAACAGAGAGAGACCTCCATCTTTACAAAAAATTAAAAGTTTCGCCAGATGTGGCAGCACATACCTATAGTCCCAGCCACTCAGGAAGGCTGAGGCGGGAGGATCTCTTCAGCCCAAGAGTTGGAGGCTGCAGTGAGCTATGATTGCACCACTGCACTCCAGCCTGGGTGACAAAACGAGACCCTGTCTCACAAAAAAAAAGCTGTCTTAATTTCTTAACACCCAAAAAATAGTCACAAGGCAATATTCAAGTATGGTAAGTATTTCTAAATATGTGTGGACAGAGTGGAGATACATTTACTCTTTCCAGAAGTAAACTTTTTGCCTCTGTCTTTTGCTTTTTGGAGGTTTTTTGGTTTGATTTTTCTGTTGGTTTGGTTGGGGTTTTTTTTTAGTTTTTTGGCTTTTTTTGATTTTTTAGTTTTTGCCCTTGTTTGAAACATCTCTCAGAAAGGCAGTTTTAATCACTGAAGCCTTTTGACAAATATATTCAAAAGTTACTTGAAAAAAGCTCTTATTAATTCTGTGCCTAGGAAACGAGCTGCCTGCAAATCAGTGAATGGCTCTCACAAGTACAAAGGGAATTCCAAAGATGTTAAACCCCCAGACCTCTGGATCCATCATGAGAGACTAGAGTTGAAGCCAATTGATAAGTCTCCAGACCCAAACCCCATCATGACCGACACGCCCATTCCTCGCAACTCTCAAGATATCACACCGGTTGACAATTCCATGGACGGCAATATCCATCAAAGGCGAAATTCATACAGAGGTACTATTTTAAGTGCAGATTTTTCCCTAAGTGTTGGAAGACTGTTTTCATTTAAATCATTTTCCATTTTCTGAGGTTGCCTTAATTTGGTGACTCCTATATGAGATCAGATTTAAAGAAATGCATTATGGGGTTTGGTCCATTTGATGAAGAATAACTTGTTATGGAGGAGAGGTTCTAGAGGTTCTGTTCCCAAACGAGACAACCTTCTAGAATCTCTTTTAGGTCTCTCATCAGGCTTTAGCAATGTAATACGCAAGCATTTGAGGCAAGCTGGCCCACATTTCATTCTATCCCTTCCACTGAACTGCAGTTATTATTGTAGTATTCAGAATGTTCTTGGTCTGAATGTTCTTGCAGACATGGCGCTGAAGTATGGTGGGCAGCGTTGTGTCATCCACGCTGGCTCTCAGCAGGGACTCCTGTGATGCTCTAATCATCACCTTCCTCTTTATTGCACTTCCTACAGAAGTGCTTTGTCCCCATTATGTTTGTGAATTCTGTATCCCGCATTAGAAATGTTTCACTATCGAGGCTGCTCAGTGGCCTAGGGCACACGCATGTAACTGACCTCTGTGTCTGATGTCTAGGGCACGAATCAGAAGACAGCATGTCTACACTGGCTGGAAGGCGGGGAATGAGACCAAAAATGATGATGCCCTTTGACTCCCAGCCACCCCAGCGTAAGTAAAAGCTTCACTCTGCCCCAGTGCTGCCAATCTGTCCAGTCATGTAGGGGAACAACTATGAATGATCTCTTTGACTTCACTCGATCCTAACAGAAAAGATAATCTACTAAAGCTTTGACACCTTGAAGGAAGAAGTACACTTGCCATATTTTACAGTAAATATTCTTGAGACTAGCACCTTTAAGTTTAGGGTAAATAAGCTAAAAGGCCGATATCCCCAGTCTCCTAGGAATCGGGAAGTATCCAGTCTCCCTAAAAGTGCATAGCATCTCTATGGGAGAGATGGGGAAGCATCCCTCAAGACTGGGGCTGAGGAGAGCCAGGTGTCACAAGTATTCCTTAGGCTTCCTGACACATGTTCAGTGTTGATGGGCACCTGTGGAATTCTTTTTTTATTAGTAGACTTTCCATAGTATTTTAGAGTAGCTTTAGGTTTACAGTGTGGAATTTTTAAAGCAACATTTTGTAACCTTATTTGACCCATTCTTCACTTTGATAAGCATAAAAGTTACTGAGTCTCCTTTAATAACAGTTGAAATGCAATGTAAGTTAAATATTATATCATGATTAAAACCCAAAAAGCAGAGGGATAAACCAATTCTTTTTTAAAACTACTGTGTCCTCTCCCTTGTCACTGTTTGCAAGGTAGAGAAGCCTTTCAAAGTAGCTGGCACAGTGGGGCTTCCAGGTGAGGGAGCTCCCAGCCATCTCTCTCAGCAAGTACGGAGATTTAGGAGCCGTGGGTGGCCCACACACAGAGAGGCACACCCTGGCACCCCCTGCTTGGAAAAGTTCCTCACGTCGTCACCTTTTGGTGGAACCTCCGAGTATGCAGATGTCTACACTCCCTCTCCCTCTCCCACGAACCACTCACTGTACACAAACATGTAAGACACTAGATTATAAAAATCAGCTTTGAAAGATAACACCGTGTTCATTAATAGGTAATTTCTGCACAGAATAGCTTATGGGGCCCATGATGGAAAGAAAGGCCTGGACGTGGAAGTGCGCAGGTAAAGACCGTGCTCTCCCTCTTCAGAGAGGTGCCCTGGGCTTCCCAGGTTTAAAACCACAAATGCCTGGAAAGAGTAAATTAATCCATTCCAGTTGCTTTTGAGTTATAAGAAGACAGTAGCATGGCTGCTTATTTGTTTTGTATAACTTTGTATCAGTTTCTGCCTGAACTGGCTTATTTTTAAAACTTGTAAAATTTGACTATCTTTATGTCTAGATTTATGACTTTTAAATATGTTAAGGAAAAAAGATGTTATACCAGTTGATTCGGCCCTTTTTTTTTCTTTTTTTTTGATAGTGAGGAATATTATTTAATTTGTACCTCAACAGTTGGGTGAGTGGAATCTTTTAACTCAAGAGTCTGAACTCAGGTACATGTATGATCTTTAGGTTTTGAGATATCCTTTTTAAAACCCACAAGTCTACAGTGCTTTTTCACAAGCTGAGCTCTGGACCCTGGAACGAGGCAGAAGCCCTGCCCCCACCGTCCACCTACCCTGGTCTCAAATGACTGGGCGGTGGCAGGAATGGCTTGCTGGTGGCAGGAGGAGCTTCAGGACAAGGCTGTGCATAGAAGCATCAAGTTCAGATTCAGCTATCACGACTGATTGCCTGCTCTATTCTAGGCAAGCACGTTCATATTGCTTTATTTTTTTATTTATCTGAACAGACTGGAAATGCCTTATAAAAGAAAAAAATTGACTTTTTTCTTTTATAAGGCATTTCCAGTCTATACATAGAACACTTTCAAATTGTACTTCCTTATGTAAAAATTGGGATGTTTATTCCCCCTACGTCAGCCTGAATTCTGGAAAATGCTAATTCTGAAGCACCCACTGCTAAAAGCTACCTGTCTTCCCCTAGAGGAGATGCTGACTCCCAGACTGCTCTGAGAGCCCTCCTCAGACAGCTTTCCTACCTTGTGTTTTGCTCCCAAGGACCCTCCCCCCACCCCGGAGCCTCTGGGCACTGAGAGCATCACATGAGGGAAAGCCCCTGTTTTGTTCCTCAGGACTTGAAAAGGGGACGGGTGGCAGTGCTCTGAGGTCCCGCGCTGGTCGTGCAGGCTACCTGCTTGCACGTGCCAGGACTGGAGACAGCTGGAGAGTAAGGCATCGTTTTATTGGCTGGGATTTCTCCTCACCAAAGTAATGTTGAATGGCACCACCAAGATCTGGAGAGATCCCTGGTGACAGAAGACATTTTTAATAGGGCAAATTAGATGTATTATGAAGTTCATGAAGCCCTTGCTTAGAGGTAAAAAAAGATTCCCTGTGTCCCTCATCAACCTTACCTATTGGAGGGGTTTAGAGCTGGTTATCTTGACCTTACACGTTCTGTTCCTACAACTGCTTTAAGGGAGTGCTTAAGAAAAGTTTATTCCCAAACTCCACGCTTCTGATTTTGTTTGTCCATCTCCTGGATCAATAATGAAGCCTCATAGAAAGCTGTGTATGTAATCTCTGACTTCCTAGAAAGTAGGATGTGAAATCTTTGTGTGGAAATTTCAGATTCTTTAGCTAAATGCAGCGGATTGACTCCTTAGCCAGCATGGAAAGGAAAGAGGAAATCAGGAAAAATCCATTTTTTTTAAATGTGGATGGGAGGTAGCTGAGCCCCAGACTGGAAGTACTAGGAGATGGTGCCACTGGCCTGGTAGCTCATGCTTTTAGCACCAGACTGGACCGTCAGAATAAAATTTCATTTGCATTCCTTTTAAGATACAAAAATCGATTAAACAGCCACTCATTCATGTGGCCTAAATAACCATTACATGCCTCATTCAGCAATTTAAAAAAAGGCAGAATGAATTAGGAGTATACTCGAAGGAGAAGGGACTTTCTATCCTTTTAGTGGAACAAAAAATAATGGAAACCTAAGTTATTATTTGTTGGCTTATGGATTTATATTTTGTGATACATTCAAATAGATATTTTTAATAACTCATGTAATCCATGTTTTAATAGAAGAATTGGAAAATACAGATAAGCCAAAAGAAAAATACTCTTTGAATCCTGACCATTCTTCCCTGCAAGATAATCACTGTTAACATTTTAGTGTATATTCCTCAGACTTTTTTTTTCTGTACATATATAGACGTATGCATAGGAATGTGTTCATTTTTTAAGACATGTGAAATCAATGGCTAATTGTCCAAATCCAGCCAGTTGCCACCAAAAAGCCAAGGGAGAGGTTGGATTGTATGGGGGGCGGGAAGCGGGACTTTGCTCTTAAACTGTGATGCGTGTGTGTCTGTGCAAGCATGTTAAGCATTTCTCTGTCTTGTGTTCATTCGCAGCTGTGATTAGTGCCCATCCCATCCATTCCCTCGATAACCCTCACCATCATTTCCACTCCAGCAGCCTCGCTTCTCCAGCTCGCAGTCATCTCCACCACCCGGGCAGCCCATGGCCCGTTGGCACATCCATGTCCCTTTCAGACAGGGCCAATTCCACAGGTGAGAGCTGAGGATCGAGCCCAGGTGGAAAGCATTTCAAAAGAGTTGGCAAGAGGAAATGGGGAAGGACTTGCTCTACCTAGAAGAAGGATTTGGAGTGTTTCTCAGTGTTATTTACTTAGCATAACGTTTCTGTGACTGACTCAAATTTGTTTCCGTAAAATTCACCCCATTTTTCTCCCTAAGTTTTAAGTACTCAGTGTAAGGTGTCATTTTAGTAAAAGCAGCAGTATCTCTAATCACATAAGCATCTCTTGTTCCATTAACTTGTGTAATTCAGTCTTTTTTTTTTTCCAATTAATTTTTTTTTAATCCTCTAATTTAAAAGGAAAACTCATCCTGGGTGACCTTCAGGCACCAGCGGTTAGTTGCCTTTGCCTCACAATCACCCTAATGTCAGGAAGGTCCGTAGGTCCAAAGTACAAGCGACACCCAGGGGCCAGTGGGGCCACCAGGCATGTGGCGCCTGTGCAGACTGCAAACCGCAGGCCGCCTGACGTAAACCTCAGTGCGTTTAAAGCACACATTGCCAGCAGACACGCCCCGTTTGGAAATCTTAGGAAACAGCATCATCACACAGTTTTAAAGAGAAAATAGTGAAGGTGAGAGGACAGCAAATGCAGTAAATATTCTTCTTCATTAATTGAAAATTAATTTCTACCCTCTCAGTTTTAAACTGCAAGTCTAGTAACTTCCCTTACATATAATGTATTATTTTTCCATCGTTTGAAACTTGCCTATTGATAGTTATTGTATTATAGGCAGAAACTAAATTTTAGTGGTTTGGGGAAATAAGGGAATGTCAAGTGATTTCTATTTTAAAAGAACCTCAAAATTTTATGCTAGAAGTTTAGGCCAGTTATATCCTCTTCTCCTGTAAGTTTTGATCAATCATAAACATACCCAAAACATCAAATGAAGATCAAAGCTTTATTAAGGGCTGCCTAATAACTCCCAACATTATCTAGTCCCCAATCTGTTACCTGGTTTGGAGAATGCTGCTTGAACTCATGTCTAAATTTGGCCTTCCCACTGTCTTTCCCCAAATCCAGGTTTGGAGTCTTTTAGGGAAAGACGGTTTGCAGGATAGGACAGTTATTCCAGCCAGCTATGTGGAGAACCAAAGGCTGCCTCACAAACATAGCCTCAGATAGAAGAGAGGACCAGAAAGCAGTCCTCCAAACCTGCTCTTAGAAAGGAGGCTTTGCACCCAACCCTGTTCATCCATTTTTAAGGCCAAGGAATCCCACACACCAGGATGTGGGCCTGCCTGAGAGGATGGCAGCCTCTTCCCAATCAGATTCGCCCCATTCTCCTTCCTCCTGGACTAGGAAGGGCTTGGGAGTTGGAGAGAGGCATGGCAACTCCTACTGAGCGCTTCTCCAAGTGATCTGGTGTTGGTAAAAGTTCCCTTCTGCATGGACCTGTGCAGAAGGGAAGAGAGGAAAAAAGTACTGATTTGCACTGCTAACAGGCTCCTTGCTTTCATGACCAGAGAGGATAAGAGAAGGTAAAACTAAAGTGATAGATGCACTGAAGGTGGGTTTGAAATGTAGAACAAGTGCCTGGAAATGATCACAGTTCTCTTACTGTTGTACTTTCCCAAGGCCTTGTGTTTCTAGAGCTCAGAGTATTGCCGCAGCTCCGTATGTGTGGGCTAGGCAGGACCAGAGCCCGGCCAGGCAGTCCCTGCTCCAGGGAGCATGGACGGTGTTGCCACCACTTGGCACTGGAAGAGCACTCTTCTCCTGTCCAGCCAAGCACTTGGTCAGTGTGAACTTTGTGCGTCAGCTGTGAGAGACAGGTCAGCCAGGAAGTAGGCTCCTCACCAAAGCAGCAATTTTAGTTACAGCGTAGTTTCTGAGTAGACTGGTGGGGTTGCCCAGTGTCAGGAAGCACCCCTCACAGAGAACACGGTGTGCCTGATGCCCTCGAGCTCCGCAGGACGGCCCTGATCTGTGGCAGCAGGCCCGGGCTCTGACTCATAGGCGACCCTATTTTCCTTTTTCACCTTTCCCACCAGCTCGTTGGCCCTTAGAAGCATATGCATCAACTTAAAGGCAGCTGGGGCAGTCAAGGTAGGCCTGTGTACCTGAGCTGACCTAACACACCTGCTAGTACAGGCTGACATGGGCAGGACTTGGGCCCACTTTTCTTTCTCCTCCTTCCTGCTCCCCTTCCTAGCCAGCTTCTACCCGGCCCAGGATCACACCGAGTGGGACCAGCAGCTCCCCAACCTGGTGACTGCTGGCTGGAGGAAGCCTAAGAAGTGAGATTCTCGGCCCACCCCTTTGGGAGTGAGAAGTGACCTAGGCCTGGAAGGGTTAACACAGCCAGGCACACCTGGGAGTGTGAGTCCCTCATCCCTGGGACCCAAGACCTTTAAGCCAAGGAGGTAACGCTCATGACTGGCTTGGCCTGTCTTCTCAGAGCCCAAGGGAACAGATTCGTTGCTACGTCAGCAAGAAAGGCAGGGAAATGTGTTGGATTTCTACAGATTGCTCACACATTGCAGTAGTTTTCCCTGATCATCAGGGGAATACATTCCAAGACCCCTGGTGGAGGCCTGAAACCGTGTATAGTACTGAACCCTATATACACTGTGTTTTCTTGATCTGATAAGCAAGGCAGCTACTAAGTGACGAATGGGCAGGTAGAGTATACAGCCCGGACACACTGGACTAAGGGATGATTTGTGTCCCGGGTGGGATATTGCAAGGTTTCATCATACTACTCAGAATGCTGCATAATTTAAAAAGTTATGAATTGTTTACTTCTAGAATTTTCCAGTTGATATTTTTGGACAGTGGTTGACCACAGGTAACCCTGGAAAGCAAAACCATGGATAAGGGGAGACTACTGTACTTTTTAAGGTCGAGTACACGAGGAGTCAAAGAGGCCTTCAGGCTACGTGGTACAGCCTGTCGCCCTGAGCTGGGTCCTGCACACTCTCCCCAGGGGTGGGGACGGTCTGCACAGCTCACAATGTTGGAAAGATGTTCCACGTGTGGTCTCCCTGGGCCTTGGTATAGCTTCTGCTCCACAGGGTGGAGGATGAGCGGTACCAAGCATAGAAAAGTAGTCTCTGTAGTGCGTGGCGGTTCAGAGCATGGGCCTGGGAGCCAGAGTGCAGGGGTTCAGATTCTGCCCTGCTAGTGCTGTGTCGTGGGCAATTTGCTTAACCTCCCAGTGCCTTTGAGGATTGAAGGAGCCAATGAATGTAAAGCACCTAGCATAGTGCCTGGCTTAGAATAAACTCTCAGTAATTTACAAAGAAAAAATGCTGGCCATTATCCAAGCACTGTGTTCAGCACTTTTCATACATTTCATTTAACCCTCAATGAATTATGTGTTATTCTCCCCGTGTCTTGTAGATGAAGAAGCTGAGACTCTGAGATACTCAGTGACTTTGCCAAATTCACCCAGCTAGTACCAAGAATAGAGTCCAGGTCTATCTGACTCCAAAGCCAGTGCTTTTCTACCCTACCAAGCTGCCTATTTTAAGATTATTATAATGTTCTTCCTTAGTCTTCCCTTCTCCAGGCTAATCTATCCCTATTTCTTTCTCTGGACCCAAACGCCCCTCATTTGGCAGGATCTTAAAGCTGTGTGCAGACCTCTGGACTGTTTGGTTGTCCGGGTCGTACTTGAGCTGTGAGGCTTTCGCTCTGGTGAGGCCGTGCACCATCCCTGGTGGGCATGAGGGCCTGTGACATTGGCCTCTTATGCCGGGACTACCAGGCCTTGCCAGTAGAGCTGGCTCCTGCCAGGGACCCAGCCAGCCTTGGTGACTAGACATGGTTGTCCATGAAAGGCTACTCTCTAAGACTATCAGTGAGTGAGTGAAGATTTTCATTTTCTTTTATACTTAATTATATTTTAACAGAAATAGTCCCAGAAACCTTTATATGTGCTCCATAGTAGGTACTGGGGAGAACTTTAAATCTGTAAAATTGTGACCATTTAGTTGTGCAGGTGGAAAAATTGGAACAGCTGGTCGAATACAAAATTGGTTTGGGACTCTTTCAGAGTAGAGCACTCTTAGCCCTGGCAGTGGTGCTGCTCATCCACATTCCCTTGACTAGCACTGATCCCCAGTGCCTATTGAACGGATATAGGGGGCCCCTAGAAATAGCCAAAATCCTAGGATTTGCATATGTTCAATGGCAAAAGAAATGCTAACCTTTAGACTTCCCTGCTGTAGAATCCGTTCGAAATACCCCCAGCACTGACACCATGCCAGCCTCCTCGTCTCAGACATGCTGCACTGATCATCAGGATCCTGAAGGTGCTACGAGCTCCTCTTACTTGGCCAGCTCCCAAGAGGAAGATTCAGGCCAGAGTCTCCCCACGGCCCACGTTCGCCCTTCCCACCCATTGAAGAGCTTCGCTGTGCCAGCAATCCCACCCCCAGGACCTCCCACCTACGATCCTGCGTTGCCGAGCACACCGTTACTATCCCAGCAAGGTGGGTGAGCACAGCAACACCGCTGGAGGGACCGTTTGGCTCAGGCTTAGGACAGAAATCACATTTGAAGAATAACAAAGAATTTGCTCTGTTATTGAAGAATAACAAAGCAAATATCCTCCAAGCTCATCTCAGCAACTTAGGTAGAGTGGCAGTGTGTCATTACCCCACGCAGGAACACATACAAACCAGAGAATAATTTGCTGGGGAGCGAGCTGCCCTTTTGAATTGTGTCTATGTGCAGAACCCTTGGTGGTAAAATCCAGTGGTATGGGGATGGGCAACAGGTCTGGCCTGCCTGGCCCCCTGGAACCCCCTAACTCCACAGGATGCCTGCAAGCCAGAGATGGGGTTGGGGAGGCCAAGACTGAGACCCATAGGGCGGTGAAACCTTCTCAGAAGGAACCTCAGGGTAGGGAAATGAACCCTGCAGAACTGCCCAAGTTGACAGAGCTCAGCGACAGTCCCCGACCTCAAAGGCATGCTTTCCCCTCCTTTCCCACGTTATTATCTGTTACGATGGTTTGTTTCAGAGTAAGTCAGTGGTTTTCAAATTTTCTGGTCTCAGGACCCCTTTATATCTTAAAAGCTATCGAGGACACAAAAGAGTTTTTCTCCACTTGGGTTATATCTATCAGTAGTCACCATATTAGAAATTAAAACTGAGAAATTTTTTTAATAATTCATTTAAAAATAGCAACTATCATGTTACGATAAATAGCATATTGTTATGAAAAATAACTATTTTTCAAAACAAAAATACAGTGAGAAGAATGTCACTGTCTTATTTTTTGCAAATCTCTAGTGTCTGGCTTGATAGAAGACAGCTGGATTCTCCTATCTGCTACTGTATTCAATCTGTTGCAATATGTTGTTTTGGTTGAAGTATAAGAAGAAAATCTGGCCTCACAGATATGTAATTGGAAAAGGGAAGAGTATTTTTATAACCTTTTTAGATAATTGTGGATTTTCTTTTTTGATACTGTAGCAAAATTCAACAAGTTGTAGTTTTTTACAGGTTTGTTTATAATGTCAAATCTAAAACCATAGTCATGAACCATTGATACTCTAGTCCATTAAAATTCATTGGCCTATCTTGTATTTTGAATGGATGATACTAAAACATCACACATTGGGCATTTAGGAAATACTGGTTCACTAAGTTATGCAAACCCTCTAAATATTGATACATTTCATTATTCAATATCTAAAAACACATTCTTTGAGGTTAGGAGTTTGAGAACAGCCTGGACAACTAAGCAAGACCCCGTCTCTACAAAAATAAGAAAAATTAGCCAAGTGCAATGTCGCACACCTATAGTCCCAGCTACTTGGGAGGCTGAGGCAGGAGGATCACTTGAGCCCAGGAGTTCAAGGTTATAGTGAGCTATAATCATGCCACTGCACTTCAGCCTGGGCAGCAGAGCAAGACCCTGTCTGTTAAAAAATAAAAATAAATAAATAAAAACATATTCATTAATATCATCAAAGTATCTAAGTATTAAGCTCTCAGTCCCATGGTGGCAGAAACAAGTTTTTCAAAATTCTGATTTTCACTTAAAACATAAATTGTATCATTGGCAAAAAACACTGTTCATTGTTTTCCTTGAATTGACAGGCTCACTTTGTTTATTTTCTAGAAACTGTCTGAATAACCAGTTTGCTTGTCAGTCTGTCTTTGAACTAACAGTGGTGCTCCATGATAAAAACTCAGCTCCCCCAAGTGCCTTTCTTAAAGATAGCGTCATGCTTTGCAGACAGCAAAAGCACCTTACGCGTACTTTCCGTTTCGCCTCGTACAATAGGGTCAAGATTGAATAAAATAAGTAATTCTTACTGCTTTGTTGAGGATGGTCTTGAGTGAAACTGGCTTTTTAAAACTGCAAGTTTATGTCATTGAGTAGCTTTACAGTGTGGTGCTGCTGCCTTAATTTGCGCTAAGGCTCTGGCAGTCCTACCTACTGCTGCTTTAGTACCCTCAGTAAAAACGGCCAATAATGTCTGTTATTACGAAAAGAGTTTTGATTTCCCAGACATCCTGCAAGGGGTTTGTGGACCACCACGCTTTAAGAACCACTGGACTGGAATATTTCCTCTGGCTTCTTGAGTGCCCTGCCAGCCATCCCCCTTCCCTCTCGTTCCAGTAACTTTTCAGAGCAGGATCCCTGCACTAGGTCTGTGTGCGTCCCTCACCCTAAAGCAGCATTTGGACCTCGTGTGCCTCCCTGGGGTCAAGGGTCAGGCTGGCCACACCCCTGACGTGCCTTTCCCCCCTCAGCTCTGAACCATCACCTTCACTCAGTGAAGACAGCCTCCATCGGGACTCTGGGAAGGAGCCGGCCTCCTATGCCAGTGGTTGTTCCCAGTGCCCCTGAAGTGCAGGAGACCACGCGAATGCTGGAAGACTCGGAGAGTGTAAGTTCACAGGGCCATCAGCCCAGCCAGGATGGCTGGGAACATGTCCTGTGCCATCGAGTGTGCTGGCTGAACTGATATCTGTGCACACCCAGGAGTGTGACGCACACGGACTCATCGTTCAGCAAATGTGTTTTGAGCTTCTCCTCTGAGCCAGGAAGTGTGCTGAGGACTTGGTCTGCTTTCTCTCTCACAGCCACTCTGGTGTAGCTTAAATTAGCTCATTACACCAGCTCGATTAGTGACCCCCCTCACCTGCCTTCCTTTCAGTTCTGTCCCTCTGTCTGGTCCTCTTTTCTTGTGTTGAGACCATCCGCATGTTCTTTTACCCCTCAGTTTACTTCCTGACCTTTTTCTGAGCAGGATGCTGCAGGAGAAAGTGCTCGAGTGGTTGCTCTCAAAACAAAGATCACCCGGTCTCTCCGTGACCTTTCCCTCTCAAATTCCAATACAAGTGTTCTGCCTCTGCATTTCCAGAGACAGGATTGGCTAAGAGGAAAACTTAGGGCCCAGAGATCCAGGGCCATCCCAACTGTGCTGACTGTGGCAGAAACCTAGAGGGGACAAGCAGTGGGGCCTCTGGCTTGGGAGGTCATTGTGACCTGGGGTGTGTGGGTGGGGAGAAGGGCATTGTGCAGTGTTGAGACATGGGACTAGTGACCGTGGGTACATCCTGCTACGTCTGACTCTCCTGAGCCAGCCTGGGTTTCAGCAGGCCAGTCTTCTCGGGCAGTCTTACCACTGACCACTTGACACTTTGACCTCTGTCTCTGGGCTTTCCTTCCTGGATGGCCCCTCGGATCGTGCCCAGTAACAGTGTTCTCTTTTCCACAGAGCTATGAACCAGATGAGCTGACCAAAGAGATGGCCCACCTGGAAGGACTGATGAAGGACCTAAACGCCATCACGACAGCATGACGCCCTTCACCGGGACATGACTCTAAGCCAGAGTCTAGAAGTCTTGGGACTTAGCCTTGAAAACAAGGAATTGTACAGAGTACGAGAGGACAGCACTTGAGAACACAGAGTGGGCCAGCAGGCCACCCAGCAGGCCAGCCAGCGCCTCCGTGCAGGCTGGCTCCAGGCATGGCCGCCTGCCTTCTCCTGGTCAGCCTGGAAAGAGCCTGTGTCAAGGCAGCTTCCCTTTGCCTGCCGATACCCTGCAGGACTGGGCACCATGGGCCAAAATTTTGTGTCCAGGGAAGAGGCAAGAAGTGCAACCTGCATTTCACTTTGCGGTCAGGCTGTGTCTTCGTGCTGCGACTGCATCACCTTTATGGAGTGTAGACATTGGCATTTATGTACAATTTTATTTGTGTCTTATTTTATTTTACCTTCACAAACAAAATCACTATCAAAAACCAAGAAAGTCCGTGGTGTTCTCCGCAAGTGGTTGACGTTTGACTGCTTGTTCCGATTATGTAAGGAAAGTCATTGACCGTGTGGGTTGTTCCAGGGGTTGGCTTGTTTTTTGGTTTTGTTTTTATATTTTAATTCTGAGTCATTGCATCCTCTACCAACTGTTAATCCATCACTTTGACGGGGAGGAAATGTTGCATTGCTGTAAGCTTTTTTTTATTATTTTTTATTATAATTATTAAAGGCCTGACTTTCTCCTCTCATCACTGTGAGATTACAGATCTGTTTGAATGGAATGAAATGTAACATTGAAAAGACTTGTTTGTTGCTTTTCTGTGCAGTTTCAGTATTTGGGTGGGGGGCTAGGGGCTGGGAATAGGAAATGGCTGGGCTGCTGGGGTCCTGTGAATGTTTCAGTCATTGTACTTGCTTCCAGAAGCCTGCAGAAAAATGGAAGCATCTTCTTTATTGTCCTTTCTTGGCATGTCCATCTTTACTGTCACTACATTGCAACTGGAGTTTCATTTGGATCTGGTAAAAAAAATTCTGTGCAATAGTTGGGTTCGAGGATTTAGCTGCCCTGATGTGTTGGTCATAGCCTGGGGAGAGCGTCCATGCTGAGGACTCAGGGACTGTATTTCTAATTACAGGAGGGATGCAGAGTAGGGCAAGAGCGTGACCCTGTTCTGGAACCAGAAAGCAAAGGGTGGAGACCCTCTCCTGCTGCTATCATGGGTTCCCTCTGAGGAAGGAACTTGGTTTCCACGTGTGACTCCTGCTTCTCTCCAGTTGTGTCCTCGGCCAGTGCGGCGCTCACTTCCACACTGCAGAGCCCCTTCCGAAAGAGTGTTGGCGAGAGCCAGGCCAGGCGCAGCAGCAGCGCCCACGAGGCTTCCCCACATCTTCCTAAACAGTCTTCCTCACGTAGCAGGGGACAGGGACAGCCGAGAGCGACGGGGCGGCGCACCTCCTTCCGTCCAGCACTCAGCTAAGCCCTGATCGGGATGAGGTGGTGGGAGGTTTCTGAGGTTTACTGAGAGACTCAGCCACACATGGAAGCCTTCGCCTTTGCAAATAGTTCTGGGTTCTAGTTCTTAAAAAGGTAAGGAGCTGAGGCGTGTGTGTTTTTAAATATTAGGAGTATGTAATGGATAGTACAGGACTGAGCCTCAGGCATCTCCCCCTAATCCCCAGCGAATCCCTGGAAGACAGCATGAAAGGCAGCATAGACAGTAAATCGGGCTTCGGTTCTATAGCCAAGAAGAGATCAGCCGCCGAGACCACCAGTGGGAACCCTGGCCCGCCGGCCCGGGCCTTGCAGCCGCCCACACAGGCTACTGGCAGGCCACCTGCCTTTCAACGTGGGTTATTCGCCCTTTTTTAGGTCTTACGCACATTTGCTTTTCTACAAGATGAATTCTTTGTATTTATTATTTTGGGGTTAATGAAAAGTGCAATGCTGGAACTCCTGCTGCCATGCCAGCTGGTCACAGGGTGGCGCCAGGCGGGATTCTGGAAAACCAGTGCACTTAGATCCTGAAAAGAGCAGTCAGAGCACTCTGGCCACCGGGAGGGCGAGATTCCCCACAAACTGTCTCACCTTTTTTGCCCAAAGAACATGCTCGGTATTTTGGGCATTCCCTCTCATGAACCCTGACACCTCTGTTACCTCAGGGCCTCCGTACCTGGATACTGCCACAGAATTGGGGGGGGGGAGGGGCCTATTTTTAAATAAAATAACTGTTCAAAGTTGGGGGGACTTTTTTAAATTAAAAAAAGGAAAGCTATTCTGTATTGCACCTTTTCACAATTTAATATTTTCCTGTGATTTTTGAAACTAAACCATTGTGTGTCTTGTAGTGTCCTAGTTGAGCTGCTGCTCGGCAGCTTCCTTCGGGAGGATTCGAGCAAACGCGTCTGTGGCCTCGCTGCCTGCCGGAGAGGCCCGGAGGACTGCGGGACTGGTGTCTGTACCACTTGTTTGGCCTTTTCTGTAGTTGATGCTGTAAACTATATGGCTTTTTAAAAACAATTTCATGTTTTTATTTGGTATTGGCAATCCAATACACTTTTTTAATCCAATCAAACGCTGGTCTGGTCAAAGAGTTATTTTTGTCCTTAAGAAAACAACTTTGGGGCCCCCTGTTTCCCAGCTTCTAAATGGCTTCCCATTGCCCTGGCAAGTAAAAAGTATAAAGGGGGACCCGGAGGGGTGGCAGGTGAGCCGGCGGCTGCAGGAGGCGTGCTGACCGTCCGCCGGCGCCAAAGATGACTCCCGTGCCTGTCCCCACCCCACTCTTGCTGCCCTGCAGGGACGGAGCAGCCCGAGGAATCAGCTGGCACCCGGCCCCTGAGCGGTGTGCGGCCGCGTCCCTGTGCGGCAGCCGCTCTGCTGGCCTGGCCTTCCCACTCGGGCCCGCGGCTCGCGGGTGCCTGGCGCCGGCGGCGCAGGTGTCTCCAAGGAGGCGGCCTCCCCGGCTGCCGCGCCGCCTCGTGCATTCCCTGTCAGGTCCTCCTGGCGTCTCAGCGTCCGAGCCACGGAACAGCGGTGACCCGCCTGCCACGGGCCTGCCCTCCAAGAGCTTGCCTTACAGTGAGAGGCCTGGAGACGACGCCCGCCCCTCTTCACCGCCCCTCTGCCCCGCGGCTCGTCCGCTGCCCTGCCAGAGCGTTCTTCAGGAAGCCGAGGCCCTTCGTTCCCGGTGGCGGCGCAACACCGGCCTCAGGATGCGGCTGAGCTCCCAGGCCGGAGGTCTGTGCTCGTCGGTGGCCGCCTCGCGCCCAGGGCCAGCCGCGGGGAGCTGCGTGTGACGCGCCCCTAGGTGGCGCTCTCGGCACGTCTCACAGTGATCACCTGTCTGGGCCTTTCCCGCGGTCCGTGGGCTCAGCAGGGACGCGGCAATTTCTCACGCCTTTCTGAATGCCTAATGCAGGGGCAGTTTGTGACAATAGCAGCTGCCCGTCTCTTGGGTGGACCGGCAGGCGCAGGACTTGCGGCCTGGAGCGTGTGGAAAGGCCTCCCCCCAACCGCGCCCTCCCCTCCCTGGCAGGGACCCTAGTAGCCAGCCCCTGGTGCCATGGTGCCAGGACCCTCCGTCAGCAGCCGCGCCTTTGGGTACTGGGTAAACTCGATATCAACAACCACCTCTCCGCCCGGCAATCGTAGGAAACGGTGCTGATGCCACGTGACCGGCTTGGTGCTGGAACTAAGACGAGCTCGGCCCCCCCCCCCATTAGTTCTAAGATGGGCGTTATGAACACGGCTCTGTACGAAGCAGAGATGCCTCTTTTCCCTCCTGATTTCAGTCACTTGTCTGCCGGCGGTGTGGAGCATCCTCAGGAGAGACTGGAGGACAGCAATAAGCATGCCACCAAAATGGTGACAGGTTGAAGAGACAGGGACCCCAGAGGTGACACCACGACCACTCTGGCAAAAGGGCCCCAGACAGCAGTTGCGAGACCCTTACCCTTGGGTTCCCAGCTACTGAGGGAGGGGGTCTGCCCAGGTGCTCGGGGGAAAGAATACCTTAAATAAAATTTCCGTAATCTTTTAAAAGTATGTAAGGTTGAAAAAATGCCATTTAAAACAATTACCCTCTAAGCATAGGGGATGATGTCCATCTCAAGATGTCCTTTTACTCAACTAGGAATCTGATTTTGGAATGAAGTGGGGGCTAGAGCTGAGCTCAGAGGAGGGTGGAGGGAGCACCCGCTGCAGCAGAGCGTAAGAGCTATTCGGAATTTCCTGAAATAATCGGGGCAGGGGTGGGGACGCTGCAGTGCCGTCCCCACGGCGGCCAGCGGAGGGGCTGTGTGGGACGTACCCCAGTGGGAGAAGGCCGGCCTCGAGGTGTTCCAATAACTTTTTAAATGAGAACATCGTAGAGCTGATTTAATGCTGTTTGCACTTCTGTGAAGTAAACCTCCTCCGGCTCCTCAGATCTCGTGCAATGTCTGCCATGTGCGCAAGGCCTTGCTTGAGTTGCTAGTCGCTCCCCCAGTGAAAAAAAGAGCATCTGGGCCAACATGGTGGCAGACAAACCACAGGTCTGGCATGGTGAGGGTGGGATGGGTTCACTGGACGCTCGAGCTCAGAGCCAGAAGGGACCATAAGAATATAAACCTGAGAATTCACAGAAACCCAGGAGGAAAGGGGAGGGTGTGAGACCTTTCACAGGTCAAGAAATGTGGGTTCCCATCGGCCTTAGCCAGATTTTAAGCTCAGCTGGTGTCTGGGTTACCATTATTTTTCATTTCCACACCGCCTCCACAAGCTGCCCGCCCCCCAGCAAAGCCCCATCACCTTGTCACCAGGTACCTGTCCCTGGCTAACGGGCCTACTCTGTGGACCGGGTCTCCCAAAAGAGAAATCCGAGAGCCACTCCAAATTCTTCCTCAACACCGCAGCACAGTGCTCAGCAAGTCCTGCCAGCTCTGCCTCCCAAATGCCCCCCAGAGCGGCTCCTCCTCGTTGTCTATTAGACAAACTCCTTGTTAACCCCTACCTTGGCCTCACCGGCAGTGTGGCGGCGATCCTCCGCACACTGTGCAGGTGCTTTCCTAACTCAAATCCCACGTCTCTCCACTGTGAACGCTGCAGTAGCTCATCACCCGCCCTGCAGAAGGAGCCCAATGTGGCCCTGTCTGCCTCTTGCTTTGTATTTCCCACTTAATCTGCTCCTTCGCCCAAATTTGGCCCAAGCAATAGGGAGCAATGTGCACTTGCAGGGTAAGCCATGAAGTCTGGCCCTGGTACTATTTCTTCTGCCTTAGATTTTCTAGATCCCCCGCCCTCACCGTGGGCTTGCTCTGCCTGGCAAATGCCTATTCATCTTTTAAGACCCAGCCTAACAATCCAGTCCCCCTGATTGTTCTTGTTCTTATTTCTGTCTCCTCCAATGCGCTGTGACCTCCTCAAGGAAAGCGATCATGCGTGTGTTTGGATCCTACAGCCCAGCGCCTAGCACATCATAGGTTTTCACTCGATGAATTGCCTGGTGAGGCAGATAGACTTGAAATCAGATGACGAATACATCATGGCCCAGTGCTGGGGGAACTTGATGAAGCCCCATTTCTTCCTGGGAGCATATGCTTAGGAAGGTTTTGCAGAGGAGCCAAGGCTGAGCTGAAGCAGGATGCCATACACGCTAGGCTATCTATCTGGAGGGCGGAAGAGGCCACTGCTGAGCTGGGAAGCTGCCTGCTGCACGTGGCCATCAGCATACCTGGAAGAGGACAAATCCCTGTCATCCTGTATCGGGCCTGTGCTCAGCCTCCTGTCGTTGGAGCAAGTGCTGGGGGTGCAGAGCCTGTGAGG